GTTGTGCGCGAGAGCTGGACGTAGCTGTTTTGCGGCTCTTCCCAAAGAGGCGGGTCTTGTCTTCCCTGCGAGATGCTTTCCGGTTCTCTCGATGAGCATACACAACTGGGACACCTCAAGGGTGTCTATCCCTATCCCCCCCCCCCCCCCACGTCGGGGTGTCAGCCGAGATCCTTTTCGTATCAACCACAGGATCTTGTAACCCATCGGATAGGGAATCCAGCGCCAGGTAGGTACCACTTACTGGGCATGAAAGAGTGCTTGTTGACCAACCCGAGTTCCGTCTCTTCGTTAGCATCGGCTTCATGGACTTGTGGAATCATTTGCTCTTCTGCGCTCGACAAGCCCTCCTCGTCAATATCCTCCTTTCCCTTCCCCTCAATATCCGGCGACAATGTGGCCATCAAACCAGAAAGGAACCCCTCCCGAGACATCGTCGGCAGCTTCTACGTCGGCCATGTCTCTCTACAATCGCATACCGGCCCTCCTCCGCATCCTCATCCTGCTACCGTTTCTTCCCCTCGCCCTACTCCAGCTGAACGAGCTCGATCACCCGATTAAACTTAGCGGTATTCTCCCTAGCAGTGTCGATCCATTCCTGGATGTCCAGATGAATCACTCGCAGGCGCTCTTCCGAATCGGGGTAGGTGCCGGAGGAGGGTGAGCGGAAGGGCGACGAATTTGGGGAGATCGGGGCCTGTGAGGCAGAGGGCGAGGTCGCCTCTGAGCGCTGGGGGGTGTTGGAGGCTTCGAGGTCCTCAATGAGGCGTTGAATCTCTGTAGCTTGGCGTTGGATCTGTTTTATCAGGTCCTCGCGTTTTCTGTGTAGCAGCATAAGGAGGTAAGGTTCGAACGAGAGATTCATGGCGTCGATCGACGTACGGTCAGCGTTTGCATTCTTGCCCGCGTTTTTGCACCGTTGACAGACGTTTGTTCCTGGGGGAACTCGCATCTGACCTATATGCGGAACCGGCTATCAGTCTCGCAGGATGAGCTGCATATGTGAAGGCAAGGCGACCTTCATGGCTTTGCAGCGACGGCATACCCCAATCCTGCAATCCTATCATCTGAGCATGCGTGAAAACATCAAGGATGGGCACTTACGGCTCGGCTCGCAGCTCCTTTCGTGATCATCCTGCTTCACCCTCGCCAGATTGTGTATGGGCAACAAGGCGGTCGGTGCGGTGCTGGCCCACACGGGTGGAGAATCCGAGTATCCGCGGTCCGGGGACCGTGACTGACTCGAATTGACTCGGGCCTCTTCTCTCCCGTAGACTGAAGGCTCCCCACTGGCCTAGTTGATTTCGTTGGACTACTATCATTCACGCAGACTTACCGCCATCCGTGACAGCGATAACAGGCTGTTTGTGGTGTAGGATAGATCGGACAGCCCGCCTATGTGCCGACTCCTGCTTTTATACGCAGTAGCCTGAGCATCATCACAGCTTTGTATATATCTCAGTGATCCATGGGGACAGATAGACGCGCGAACGTCACCTCACTGGTTTGCTTAATGCCTAGGGCGCATTATAAGCGTCAGCGGAGCGAAGTCGTACCAACCACGTACATTGACGCTGGACTCAGGTCCGCGACTAGCACCTGACAGCATGCTCTCTTTGACCAACGGAAAACTCAAGCCCTCAACATGCACCACACTCGACGAATGGCATTCTAAGGCGTGTGGCCAGCAGAATAAGGGGCACGAGAATCCAATACATACAATCATAGATTAGGATGTAAGAATCTGGCTATGCGGAAGTGTGAGATGTCAACGCCACACAGGAGACCGAAAAGAGAAACGGTGCGGCGCGGCTGAAAGGACAGAATGTCACCAAATACTAGTATATTTCCAAAGCTCTCGTTCCACAAGGAGTTCTTCCTCATAGCGCCCAAAGATCTCGTCCATCATATCTCTCCAAGGCCCATACGACTCCTTTGCATAGTATGACCTCGTCCATTCCCAGTATTGGGGAAACCAGGACAGACATGCCCAGTCGACCAAACCTGTAAGACGGCCATTCTTGTCAATGAGGATGTTTTGTGGTGCGAAGTCGTTGTGGGTAAGACATATCGGGTGAGTTCTGGAATGGACAGGTCTTGCGAACGCCTTGAGACGATATTGTTCTTCCAACACCAGTCTATCAGTAAGCCACTGATAGAGACCTGCCTCTGTGTCGAACGGCCCGACTCTGTCCACGCATACGCGATAACACAGTACGGGACCGCCATCTACTGCGCAAATTTTGGGACCTGTCTGAGGAGGCGGAATGGATCGCATCTGGTCAAAGAGTCGTTTGAGATCGGATGCGAGGAGTGATCGTTGTTCCGGCGACATGTCCCATAGACCGCGCGCCAGCGGTTCTCCAGGTAAGCGTGTCATTACTATGAACATGCCATTTGGATATTTCGGATATGGAATGGCGTCAATGAGCGATGGTACCGGGCTCCCCACGTGCTCTGAGATGAATCGTAATGCGTTTGCTTCATGCAGATCCACACCTTGACCCGCCTTGGCATACAGATTGAAAGGTAGGCGGAAGCAGCTGTAAGACGTGGTGGGACCGTACAGACGGAGTCCTACGTGTATCAGAAGCCGGTAGGCACAGAGCCTGATGCTTTGCGGGAAGATGTGCCAGAAATCGAGTAAAATACCCATGGAAGCTGAATACTCGCAGGCAAGTCCGACGAGTTGAACTATGACCTCGCCACCTGGACTTGTATGCAATGTGTAATCAATTCCTATACAGGATGAGTCTTTCCGCCGCTTGCTCTAGCAATGTACGTTGCGGGTGTGAATTCACCGAGAGGCAACGAACAAGGTACCTAGACTGGCAGCATCCGGACCATTGGAACAATTTTCTGCGAGGTCCACCGTTTGAGAGTTGAAACGTTGACAATATGGGAGACCGTGGTGGGACGGAAAGCTGTTCTCGGAGAGTGCCGGTTTCACCCGCTCAGGAATCGTTCAGCACGGTGCCGTTACTTTGGCAGCCTGAGGCTGCTTCAAGTCGCCATCGTTGTCTCTCTACAACCCTAGTATCTACAGTGATGACATGAGTCCTAAGGACTCTTCACGTCTCAGTACTAGAGGGGTCGACTAGAACATCGGGAAAAACCCCCCGATGATTAGACAGAATCTCCTGTTTTCAGTTCGAATTATATCTGATTACTGGGAATCAGACCAATTACAATGTTAGTTCTAATTAGACAACCGACGCAGGCCTCCTGAATGCTGTGTCGTTGCCATTATCCTCGAGATAAAACGTGTACGGTGAAGCCACCTGTAGGCGCATCCAAATACGTCTGGCCTCTTTCACTCAATCCCATCGCAAGGTACTTCCGGACCTAGATACATAACAAGCCACAATGAACACAATCTTCGAATCGAATATGCCGTATGAACCTACATTTACATCAAGCGCTGCAGCCAGACCAATTATCTGATTTGCGGTCTTGGCCTGACAAACAGTATGTTCACCTGGCATGTATCCTTGGAGGTAGTGATGACTTGCCTTCTCGAAGACGAAATTGACTATCGCTGTCCCATAGCCACGGTTCTGATGCTTAGGATCCGTAGCGAGGTGGAAACACCACCAGCGCTTGTCTAGCTCCTACTGGAGATGTTAGAACGAGCGGCCACGCCTCGCAAGTTTGAGTATACGTGCCTCTTTATTCCACGTGTCAGCATTGAACTTGTCCATGGTTTGAGGGTACTGTAAATGGCTTCAAAGCTGAGCGCAGGCTTTCTCTTGGTAGTCACGCACGGTGTTCTGCCACCAATACTGGCTTTCAGGTGACAACTTGCTGAAGAAATCGTTGAACCCCAAGGCTCTCTGGTCCTCACTTCCAGTCATGGTCAAACCAGTATCGGGAAAGGAGGTGTACAAGCAACTCACGTTCCAAATAACTCCCTTCTGGGAGGGAACCAGAAGCCACTGGACACGATTACCTTACTTTCCGGGTCTTTGACAACGTAGATTTCTCCTTCTAGCGCCGACGCACGTATCATGGCCCGGAACAACGGGCTGTGAAGGCTCCAGTCGCCCCCGACCAGTGCTCTGTGAGAGATATCTATGCGGATTCGTTGTCAGCGAGCTCTTTGTTGAATGCCATAGTTATCCCTGCCTCCGGCGAAGGCGCGTACAGCCATCTCGGTCATCTCCTGGACCTGACCATCTGAAAGCCGTGAGGTGGTGTTGCGCCGGAAATTTGGAGACGTACCGGTGACTTCTGTCAAGAGTTCTACAACAATTGAGGCTGTCTTCATAATGGATGTGGAGGCGGACCCGTTAGACATGAAGGGCTCTTGACGAATCTTGGTAAGTAATATCACTCACGATTCCCCTTCCGCTGATGCGCTCACCGAGGCACCCGAGCATTGCAGTGACTGTTCCGTTTCAGCGCTCTCCGAAGCACCCGAGTACTCACACGTTCCGTGAGATACCGGTATCCTTATCACAATGGTCGCTGGGACGCGAAAAGAGCTCGTACAGAGTCCACGATGCGATTTGGGCTCGATGTCGCAGTAAGCAGTATGGGTCCTGTTGCTGATCTTAATCCTCAGGCGCATGAGGGTGGCAGCCATCCGTGTTCTGTTCTCTGTTTGCCCCATCCCTATCGGGGCACACCGTTTGTCCATTCCGCGACATTGCAGACTCAGAAAGCAGAAATGCATACATCTGTTCAGCACGCTATGTCCGAGGCTATAGCTACGATCGAGACACGATCGTCACGTATCACGTGGGCGTGATGGATGCTCCTGACTGACAAGCTGCGCGTGGAACTACATACAGTAGAGAAGACAGACAGAACTCGGTGCGTCTCCGCTGGACCACTCATAGCGGGCCTTCGACTTCCGTATCAGCAAGCGGATATATATGTATCACAGCAATCCTTACTGTTGGCTTCCGCGCCCTGTCTGAACTGTTCTTGCCTGTTGGATTCCACTCCCATTTGACCGTTCGAGATCCTCACCGTCCACTCGCCTTGGGCATGGTTCTCAGAGCATTCGGGGGGTACCAAAATTCTTTTCCAAGGGTTCCCTCTGGTCCACGTCGACACCATCGCCAATATTATTACCTGACTTTTATTAGATAACCAAGAGCATGAGATGGCGTCGACGGCCGTATGAGCTTTCACCGGAGGCCTTCGTTCTTTCCTATCCTCGGCACATCCGCCTGTTGAGGAAGAGCGTCGTGCGGCCGACCCTGTACTGGCTGCGGCGAGGGGTGAGTACCTCTGCGCGATCGCCGGAGAAGAGTCACTTTTAGTGGGCCGGAGGAGGTGCTGCATGACCACCATGCTCTCCCTGAGGCCTGAGGGCCTAGGCCCGTCTGTGTTTGTACCCGCCTGGTATCTGTCGCGTCTCCCATCCCTTCTGGCTGTCTCGTACTAACCTCTTGCAACCCGGCGCATCTCCGGTTACTACCTCCCCGCAGTTGGGGGTACCGACATGCCCACGGAGCCTTTCAGCCTGCTCGCTTATTGATATGATATTGTCTCCCGCGATTTTCCCTAGTGTCCGCGATTATGTCGCCCCGGTACCACGTCCTCGGCTTCTTCCCGCGGTTTCAAGGCGCCTATCTGTTCCGCGGGCGCTTGTGGCTAGCTCGTTAAGCCTCTGGTTGCTCCGTATCGTTACCCGCAAAGGCAAGTAATCTATCTGGATTCCATGTAAATGTAGAATTTATGATTGGCATGTTACTGGGAAGCCTAGCTTCGGGCGAAGCACTCTGACCGATGTATGTAGGAGCCAGTAGGAACGGCGAAAACGAACTCCAATTGGTGATATATGGGCTGTTAAATGGCACATGAAGTGCTTGTGGGAACCGAAGGGATACAGTCACTGGCAACGCTGAATCTGTGCTTTTGTGATCATGCCGCGGCCGATGGAGCCTCATTCAAACTTATTGCGTCTTTCAGACCTGCGAAACTGGTCCCCCGTATTGTGAGCAGGCGCTACAATGAAGTGCATACCCTAACGCTGACGAGAAGCGTTGACTGTGATCATTTCTTCTGATGGAACTTTGACTCGGGGATATAACTATTGACGCTATTTGTGTAGGTTTAGGGGGGGAAGTGTTATCACCTAACACCAAAGGTCTGGGTGCAAAGATTGCCCATCACTGGTCGCAGCTGCTGGCCGGAATGCGGGACTCCGTACGACCGCATAAAGGTACAATGGTTGACGGAAGACTAGAGCTAGTGCCCACTTTCCCGTCGCTATGTTCATACCGACTCTCAGGGCATCCTCTGTAGACGGGACTTCTTCAGTTCCCTTTGGAACATCCGTAATAACTGCAGCTTCTGACATTTGTCCATCTGACTGCGAGGATATTTATCACTGTAGACATTATGGCAAATCGTCAGGAGCTGCACAGTCACCGTCGTGGCATGCACTTGGGTGTCACTCCACCTCAATATTCCTCATCCTCACGAGTCCTGGTATCATGGGCCGTTACGGCAAGTGGGAATAGTGATCATGGCTATCATCGCCCCAGAACTGGTAATCGCATGGGCGTTGAGGCAGTGGCTTGTTGTCAGAAAGCTAGCGGAGAACGTCATCATCCCAAGGCTACCCAAGAGCAACCTGGAGGAGAGTAACAAAAGCGTGGAGAAATGCATACACAAAGAGGAAGAGGAAGCCATGACTAAGGACGGGGAATCTGAGAAAGGTATTGGGGCGGGGAAAGGATTGGGTGGGCTCTAAGACACTCCGTCCTCAACCGTCATACTCACCAGACTCTTTCGCAGAATGGACCAAAACCCATTACTTTTTTGGGATTATGGGCGGATATATGTTCTACAAGGATGACGATGAAAATACTCCCAGGGTATTAGATGTTCAGGATAAGGAACGACTTCAATTGATATTCAAATGCCCCACGTTCACTGGACTTACGGAGGCGGACATTACAGACCGAGGGAAGAGGAATTCCTTGGAGAAGGCGCCGGCTGTCATCCAAGGCCTCTGGTTTATTCTCCAGCTCTTGGCACGTACGGCGCAAAATCTAGCACTGACTGAGCTGGAGCTCGCGACGCTTGGGTTCGCCCTGCTGAACTCCGTGACGTATTTCTTGTGGTGGAACAAGCCTCACGGAGCCCAGCGCCCTTGTGTCCTTCGCAAGGAGCAATATTGGGGAAGGGTTTCGAAGACTGATATCATCCAGGAATTCTCGCGACTATTACTGTCAGGCCCGTGCAGGAAAGCCAAAAAAGCACATTCGAAGACCACTCCTAGTTCAAGCAGCTGTTCTCTCCCTCGCGAAGTGTGGCGAAAACTGGCTGCAGGATTCACAATTGTTATACACGCAACTCTAACTCCATTTCTAGAAATGGTAAAGCCTCAGCCAATGACTACTAAGGCTGAATGTGTGCCGACATTCCACGCGGGGAAGCTAGACTTGGCTGATGAAGGCATAACATATTGTGTGACTGCTGCCATTTCCATGATCTTCGGTGCTGTCCATCTGGCGGGGTGGAATTTTTACTTCCCGTCTCGCATAGAGCAGATACTCTGGAGAAGTTGCTCATTCGCGATAACATGCCTACCATGTGCCGTGTGGATTTGGTGGGCTACGCGGCACTTGCTAGGACACTCCAAAGGCAAGAACGAAAACGCAGGTGTAGATGCCAAACCAAAGAAGGACGGAGGATCAGGGGAGGAGGAAGTGCAAGTAAGGGAGACAAACTCGGAAGAAAAGGCAAAGCTAGAAAATGAGGACAAACAACAGGAGGACGACTCGGAGAAAACCCCAGGCGAGAAGGCAAATGCGGGGAAAAGCGCAAACCCTTCTGCCTTTAAGGTAATTGAGGTGACATTTATGACATTGCTCACCTTTCTGTATATTTCAGCCCGAATTGCTCTTCTTGCCGTTGCGTTCACTTCTTTGCGATGTCTTTCCCCGGGTGCATACAGGGCGGTCTCATGGACTAACTATATACCACATGTATAACATTAAGTATTTTCTACGCTCCGTACTCCATTTGTCTCCTTTGCTCCCGCTTCTTTCATCGCACTGCGAAGGCATTTAGGTGTTCTTGTATGTATGATGCTATTGGCCATGTAAATTTGAAGGATCCCCTTTCGATTAATATTACGCCGTGTGGCCTCTCCTTTGCAACGCCACATTCCGGGCGGAAACACGTGTAAACAATTGCCGGTGACTGCAAGTTGTCCGAATACGTCACCTCAGCCGCACGATGCATCCCTCTCCCGAGTACCGACCCCCGCGACCAGCACCTCCTGCTTTCCCCCTTCTTCGTTCATCGCAATGCCACATTTACCTGAGCCTAAAGGTCCATACGCTGTCGGAGCGACGACCTTTCTACGTCCTATCCGACCATCGCTGGCGTTAGGAACATCGAAAGTGAAGAAACCGAAGCACTCGAATGAACCGGCACACGACGAGCTCGAGCACACATTGCAGCTCGAGGAAGTCGCCTTTACTGCGTTCTATCCGGCTGACTTGGACGGGAATGGTCACTCGCATCAAAGGAGTAGCTGGTTTGGAAGGGGGTACAAGGGGCCGAGTAAAGGCGTAGATTGGGTGATCAAACCCGTAGACGAGACAATTAAGGGTTACGAACATTTCGGAGGTATGTTCGTGCATTATATTTCAATTATATATTGCTCACGATATGGTTCTGTTCAGGACAGTCGTACCCAGGTTGGTTAGGCACAGCCATTAGACCACTCATCGCGTTTTTCGGCTCGACCATAAAGGTATGGAGCTCTTCCTTCGCTAACGGTCCAATAAAATAGCATTTTTTCGTCCGTCCGACCATGTAGATTCCAGCTTACAGCAATGCAGCACCCCTCGCCCCATCTCAAGCTACCGATAAATGGCCCCTTCTCATCTTCTCGCACGGCCTAGCCGGCTCCCGGACAACATACTCCCACCTCTGCGCGCACCTCGCTGCTCAAGGGCGCGTCGTCCTCGCGCTCGAGCACCGCGACGGTACGGGTCCCGCGGTATTCCCCCGCGGCGCGGATGGGCAGCCCAAGAGCCTCTACTACGTCAACCCCGGCTCCGTGCACTGGCCGGATAGCAAGGGGAACTACGCGTCCGTTGAGAACTCCTCGTACAACTCTGAGCAAGCCATGAAGCTCCGGCAGGAGCAGTTGGATTTCAGGAGGAGGGAGGTGTACGAGGCGGTGGAGGCGTTCAAGCGGATGGTGGGCGGTAATGAGGATCGGGGCGGGGTAGAAGTGGCGGATGCAGCTGAGATAGATTGGAGTAAGTGGAATGGGAAGATCGACTTTGAACACATCGACCTCGTCGGGCACTCCTTCGGGGGAGCTACAGTCGTGAGTGGGCCTGCCTTAAAAAGTCGATCGGCGGCGCCTAATGCCATGTCGTAGTTTTCCATCCTTTCAAACCCTCCCGCGCCCCTCCCCCACTCACCTGACCGCACCTACCCTGAACTACCCGTGCGCAAAGTGCTTGCGCTAGACCCATGGATGGAGCCCTTCCCCTCGCCCGGGCCCGCTCCCCGCTCATCCGCCGAGCTGCTCGTGATCAATTCGGAGGCATTCACGCTCTGGAACTCGCACTTCGCGAACCTGCAGAACGCGGTGCGGCGCTTCCAGCCGGGGCAGCTCGTCACGCTCGTCGACGCGCAGCACATCTCGTTCTCGGACTTCCCGTTGCTCGTGCCGACGCGGTTCCTCGGCGGCGTGGATCCGCGGAAGATGCTGGGTGTGGTGTGTACGATTGCGGATGCGTTCATGGGCGGCAAGCTGAAAGTGGAGGACGAGGCGGGCATCAGGATACTGGAGAAGGAGGGGGTGAAGGTAAGGGAGATGGAGGTAGTAGAGAAGGAGGAGAAGGGGAAGAAGAAGCGTAAACTGATGGGCGATCCTGGTGATGTGATCATTCATCCGATTGCGAGCGACTCACCGAATATGCGCCTATGATGGCCCTCCTCTTTGATTGCCAACGAGGGGAGGACCCTGTCCTGCCCATGACTGAACGCACGTCTTTTATGTGGAAACGCAGCACAGCGAACTTGTAGACCTCAAATCACGGACCTCAGCCAAGTATAGATTGCATACTGTATCTTATTCACTGTCTAATGTAATATTATATATCCCGCCTTCATCTATGCTGTCTCCCGCGAATATGGGATCAGACGCACCGTGCCGGAGGCATCCCATTGGTCCATTCTATTCCTGAGACATTAGGTATGGGTGCGATTATGGCTAATGAGAACTGCAGAGAAAACCAAGGAGCACCAGGATCAAACGAATAGATAATACAATATAATAATACACGGAACTAAAAATCCAGTAGAATAATCTCTGTCAATCCATCAAGATCATACCATCATCGACATCCAGGTCATAGCCCCTCCTGCCGCCGGCCATCGACTCCCCTACACTGACTCCGGGAACACCAAGTCCAGGCAAAGTATACACTTCGACGACGCTGTCGGGCCCCCGCCAACTATTGTCCCACTCAAAGAATCGTCTCCTCGTGTGCTTTCCGACGTGCCCGCAGTAGGCCTCATGCTCGCGCTCGAACTCGTGCAACTGCGGGGTGTCCAGCACCTTGTTCGTGACGATGCTCATGCGCTTCCTGGGGGCGCGCCGGGGCATGCGCCGGCTCAGTGAGTCCGAATCGGTGTCGTCCGTCTCGTCCGAGTAGGCTTCGGCCTCTTGGATCTTGTAGATAAGCCGTGCATGTTCTGGAGATACGTCGTTCGCATATGTGTGACGTGGGGAAGTAAGAAGTGTACGTACGGGCCAAGTCCTTGTCTAGTTCGTCCCGTGGTTCGCTTTCTGCCATCCGCCAGCCTAGGTGATCCCCCACACTCTCGCTGGGGACGTCGTGTATGCCGACCGAAGGCGCAGGCTGTAATTGGGACAACTGTTGCAGCACAATCTGTCTAAAATATAAAGGAATGAGGACCATCCTCGCTTCTCGTTCGAGGCGGGTGAAACCTACCTTATCTCGTGAACATATCCGTCCCTCAGATTATAATCCTCCCGGTTGGTCCCCGGGACCTCGAGCCGGTACCGCGGGCCGAACCACTCGAAGTACGCGTTGTACGGCAACATGGGGTCGATGGTGTCCTCGATGCCGAGCGCGCAGGCGGTCTCGTAGCACCACGTCCGGGCGACGTTCTTCGCGGTGTATCCGCCGCCGCCAAGGAGCATCAGCGGGACATTCTGCTTACGGAGGAACTGCACGCACGCGGCGTGCCCATGCATGCTCAGGTTGAGCTCGCCGAGCTTGTCGCCGGCCAGGGAATCTGCGCCACATTGGAGTACCACTGCGGAGGGTAGGAAGACTTCGAGTATTTTGCTGATGATCTTAGATAGAGATACGAGGTCAGTGTTGTCTAAAATACAAGATGGGTGCACATACAGGCTCAAAGAGACTCTTGTACGCTTCATCCGTGATACCCTCACGCAGGGGCACGTTAACGGAATAGCCTTTACCCTTGCCAAACCCCGTGTCCCTGTAATCTCCCGTACCCGGGAAGAAGTCGCCAAACTTGTGAAAGCTGCATGTCATGACCCGGTCGGTGGTATAGAATGCCTCTTCGACGCCGTCGCCGTGATGACAGTCGATGTCGATGTAGAGGACGCGGGGGTATGTGCGGAGGAGCTCGAGGATGGCGAGGTTGATGTCGTTGATGTAGCAGAAGCCGGACGCCTCGCGTTTCTTTGCGTGGTGCAGACCACCCGCCCAGTTGATGGCGATGTCGGCGGCGCTGGAAGAGATTGCGCGTGCAGCCGCTGGATATAATGACATGAATGAGTACCCATGCTTACAAAATGTGGTACGCGGCCTACCTAATGAGCCTCCGGCGGATATCGAGCAGAACTCGAATAAGCCCTCGAAAGCGGGGTTATCGCCGTCCGCGCTCAGGACTGTGATAAGCATGCGTGAGCGACGTGAATTATACTTTCAAGCTACCTATCCTCACATCTGGTATACTTATAAGTTAGATCCTCAGCGGTCTCCGGTGTAACGCGTTGCAAGAAATTCACGTATTCGTCCGTGTGGAACCGAGTCATGTCTTCTGGGGTAGCGCGTTTGGCGCGCTGAGCTGTTTCACAATGTCATTCACATGGCGCTCTGAATGTTCTCCTACCAAGACATGCATCTTGTCAAGCATGTTGTATGCGCGAACCAAGTGATGCGTTATGAATATGCGGTGTGGTTTCATGCAGTGTCTGCCCTCCCCTTTCTGAGGTGCATCATAAGTATATCCTCCCACTTCCGCTGACAGAATTCGAGGTGGTTAATGAGGATTCGGGAATGAGGAAGGCAAATGTCGTACGGTCAAAATAATATGTAACTCGTCTCCGGTCTGGCAAAGACATGTTGCAGTAGAGGTTATGGTCTTGTCGAACATTGATTCTGAGACAGATTGTGATGCGGAGAGAGCAGACAAGAGGCGACAAAAATAGATCATAAGGTCACGTGATTAATTATTGGAGTCAGGTGCTTGTCGCGTAGAGTCGGACTCGGAACGGTCGGCGAAGCATGCACAATGTGTTCCTTCTTAACTCTTATACAGGTTATCCCCAGAGTGCATCGCTCAATAGAGCAGGCATGACTTTGCATTATTGCTGGCGGTATCTACTGTACGAGAACCATACCGCGACGACGTGCCCACAACATTAATCTATGTGTCAGGCAAATGGTGAAGAGAGCAAGTATAATCCCTAATACAGCCTGTATAGCTCCTTCCCTTGTGCTACCGGCATCATCCGTAATCTGCTCGTAATTGAGGTCCTGTGGGTCGTCATCTTCAACCGCAGGTAACCACTCTTCATATTGCGCGATCATCTCATTAATCGATTTCTGCAGACTCCAGTTGCCCGGATGCGCGCTCGCAGACCGAATTGATGCAAGCACAAGATCCAGGGCTTCATCTGACATTCTGATCAAGTTGTACAGCTCGTCGGGTAATATCCCGTATCCCGCCGTGACTTGTTCCGTCCTCTCCGAGGCGCGAAGACGTGCATCCTAAGTATTGTCCCAGTCGGTGCGTTAGGTATGAATATATTGTAGCCAGGCTGGCAGGTCATGCGGGTGCGAACGTTCCAGGCGGGGGCGGGCCTGCACCTTCGCTACCTCCCTTTTCAAGCAATTGAAGTCGTGCTGCAACATGGACATGACACGTCCAACGACATCGACTACGATGTTGGGCGCGAAGAGCGTCATGACTATGCCTTGGTACATCATAGAATCCACGGATGAGATATCGAGGCCGAAGACGAATGTGTCATAGGTCGGGGTGAACCAATGTGGATCTGGAGTAGACCTGGCGCGATTCCACTAGCCAGGACATGGCGTCGGATCCGCTATAAAGCGCAGTGGCGGCTGCTCAGTCATATCGGGTGCTGAGCAAGGTTGTGTTCCGATGTTGTCCAGAATCCAGATGATGGCGGGGTTTACCTAATACCGAGCGAACAAGAGGAAGTGAACACTCGGATTATCCAAGAGCGGATCGCTTTCCTTTCGGAGGCACCTAACACTGACACAAATGACAGAGTGCGATTGCCTGCGTGTCAAGCGGATCGGGCGAGTGGATGCTATGCGTGCTGCAGTCGGTGTTACAAGCCTAATCCAACGGGGCGGACTCTAAGCCAAGGCGCTTTGTTCGTCCGTGTGACCAGCCAGAACAGGTACTTAGGTCGGGGAGTCCATTTCGACCGGTTCGTCAGGCCTTCAGGCCTTGAGACCCGTGACTTCTTTTCTCCATGGACCATGACGGTGATAATGTGTCGAATTTCGGCATGTAGTGAGTTGCTGCTAGGGATCCGGAGGGTCAATACTAGTACTACTCAGGATGATAGACATCTGAAATGATGGACATGCAAGGAACGAGTACAGCATTGTCAGCTGTACATGTGCCCTCAAACATTACAGCCGTTTGCAGATCGTTAGGCCATCACTTCAGAAAGTCACATATAGTCGGAGTTTGTCGGACATGGTGCCAGGGACGTCCCAGGAATTAAAAGGAGTCCAAATGGTCTGATGTTGGGGCCTTGGGGACTTGAATTCCCCTCTCCGACATGGTCCGACTGTAAATAGTTTTCAAGAAATGGGCCCATCGAACGGGAGGTTACGCATATGGTTGCTCGATATCAATATCGAGTGGCTGTGCCATTTCGTGGGAGGAACCTACCAAACTCAACGAGTTATCGAGTGGCTGTGCCAGAGGCGGCTGTGGCTCTCCCCGAGGAGAACTCGATTTGTGCCTGCCATGACAGGTGCTGGACGAGCTCCCGTACGTGTGTACAATAGGCAAAATACCTGTGTATACTGTAATACTTGAGACCATATATATGAAGGTAGATGAGGCTTGATACCCATTACCCCAAATCATACCAACAGACCTTGATGTCCATGCAGAGTTTTTATGGACCAGTGAATGCTGAGTGTGTGTTTAGCGCTCAGCAGCAGTTAGACAGTTCACAGCAGTAGATTTACAGCATTATTTTTAATGAAATATCCTCTGTGCAGTTAGCCTGACTGGGTGTCATCGCATTTACAGATATCCACAGTAATTCAGACCTTGTAAGGCAGCGTGGAGGGGGGAAAGCGTGCAAACTATAGATTCAATGCTAAACCTCTTTCGTGAAATTGTGGGGGAGCGGTGTTTGCTTTGAATGTGCGATATAAGAAGTCCCTTGCCCCGGAGGGCCCCAAATTGAGGAATTACACAGTGTTTTGGGCTTGAATCGCCTTCAGAAAATATGCATGGACTAGCTGTAGATTTTCTCATGGTTCCAGTTGCTGATTTATAGGAGATATATCTCAGAGAACGATGGACGGGTTGAGTACTAGTATGGCCCCGGAGGGGCCGGACAAATTCGATTTTTGTAGTATTTACACTCGGATTTTACGGTAAAACATGCCATCTGTCCCTCACTAGCTGCTTTGTTCCT